CCTGACAAAGACTTGTTACAATAAGATTTTTACTTGCACAAAAACATTAACTAACCGCCCGAAATGTTGCAGTTCATCAATACTTTTAATGGCTGTTTTGCCACGTGGGGTCGTTAAACGGCGTACGCCAAATGGCATTGAAATATTGCTATTCAAGTCGTCAAGCAGCGATTCAATAGTACGATAACGAGCCTTCGATACCGGTACTCGAAGACCCTTCAAAAAAACCAGCAAACTTTTGTAACTTGGAAGTGCGATAGTCAGAAACCAAAGGGAACATCAGGCAAATATTTTTTTGCTGGAATAGATAAAAAGTAAAATTACAGTATTCAGGGCTGCCATAATATTTAGAGCAAAAAACTTTTTACAATCAAAAAAATTTCGAAAATTTAATTGAAATTAAAATGCTTCAAATTTTTAAAAATTTCGTTTGGCCAAAAAACTCTTTACAATCGGAAAATTTTCAGAATTTAATTGAAATTTAAATATGTCAAGCTTTTAAAATTTCGTTTAGCCATTTTTCCCTCCAGAAAGTCGAGTCATGACCCTTTCCGTAACCCCTCTGTTTAAGAGGCCTCAAAAGCAGCAGACACCAATGACAAGGCTGTCGATGGCTCCCTCTTTCGACAATTGCTTGTAAACAAGCTGATGGCGTGTTTAACTCTGTGGGATATGCCAATGTTGCAGTTAAGAGGAGCAAAATTCGACGAGTGCCACGCATTGCATGCTTTGCTGAAAAGTGGTTATGTTGCATAATAGCGAGTGGTACCTGCGAAAAGGAGGTTGACTGCGTGGCATTCTTCGAAGGGCTAATATGCCCACATATAGTGAGTATTGACTGAAAGCATGAGATCTAGGACGAGAGGAGGTGGGAAAGATTGTGCGTTGCGGTAAATCAGTTACATCACCAACACTGGTACCGGCGCCGGCAGCCCAAATAATTTTGATAATCTTAGTTTTTTGAGGTTCTCTGCTATTTCTGAAATTGGCTTACCGTGAAATACACATCGCCTTCTTTGTAAAAGAAAACAGTCTTTGCGGAATAAGGCCGTGTGAACGATCGATGTGAGCCGCGGTACTTGCGCACTTGTCCATTTGCTGGACCTGGAACATTTGGTGGTGCAGCTTCCAGATGACTGTGAGGTGCTTCCACTGTTGGATGATCGGACGTGGAGCGAGATGAAGACTGCAACAGTAAGTCAGTTAAAGCCAAATTTTAGTCCTCGTTTCAGCTTATCAAAATTCGGAACCTGAGCTAATCCCGAATTTTTTTCTCATGTTTTTCAGTTTTTGCAGGACGCAGCTTTTTTTAAGAAGAAACTTTTGGGAACAAACAAATCATTCTTAAGCTGTTGCAAGTAATCTGAATGCTATTGTGAGTGGGGCAACACTTTGAAATAATAGGAAGAAATGCAAGTTCTTTCATTTAGCACTTTTCAGAGTCAGGTAAAATACTTACAGTATCCAGTGCCCTTAAACATATTTTGCAACACATCTAAGGATGAAGCATGTGCATCAAAGAAAGTGAATTTTAACTGGAGGTATGCAACTCGGGATTGAACGACTCAACTTTGCTGCGTTTGGCGTGTAGGAACATTCCAGTAGCATCACAAATATGAGGATCTTGTATGGATTATCCAGTCAGTAGCAACATTCTTGATATTTTACAGCTTATTCCATAAGTATAAGAAAGATTATTTTTTTTTTTGCAGTTTGCTTCCCTTCCCTTCATGCTTCTGAGTCGTAACGTTTCTTGATAAAATTATTGTAGCTACTGCTGCTAAAGTAGCACTATCTTGGTGACTAGCCAGTTACTTACATAAATCCCAAAAGTTTTCAAAAATCAGTAAAATGCGCTGCCCTGGTCTGAATCAATCCTGGCTGCATTATTGTAAATGAAATTGGCCGCTCTGCCCTAACTCCACGCACTACGCTTTTTTGCTAAATGATAAATCAAGCGTTCCTATTATTATTGTTACCGTTATTATTAATTTTATTGTTGTTATTATTATCATTATTGCTATTATTTCTTAAAGCTTTTTTCTTGGTACAGCTGCACGTGATCTCCAGGAATCGCTTACTGTCAGCACTCGTGACATCAAACACTCACCTCCCGGAAATAAATACAAAACTCGCAAAAACTTACCCAAGGCAGCGTTGTATCAGCGTTATCCA